AAAAAAAAAAAAACAAAAAAGAAAAAATTAAAATTAAAATGACGACGAATAATTGATTAAAAATGAACAATATTTCGCTCTTGGCAATAAATAATTTCCATTCCACTTTTTTCCTTTTTCTCCTTCTACAATTGTACTCTACGAAACAATCCTGTTTCTGTAGAGACTCGATATTTCTCGATTTCAACTCTCAGTTGAACCTTGAATTGAGTGTCAAAGGTAAGAAAGGTCGCGAGATCTGAGAAATAAGCACAGCTGGTTCGATTGGACTGGTTGAAAGGGGACGACCGACCCACCTGTGTCACTTCCGGCGTGCTGGACCTGGGTGAAACTGGCGAGGCCTTTTGACGGAAGGAAGCCGTGGGTGTTCCAGGCAATCGGCTCCTGGCGTTCTGCTTTATTCCATCCCCCTCGCCGTCGTGCTCGTTGTTCTGCGAGTTCCATGGAAAAGAGAAACCAAAAGGCGCGACGTTAGAAATAGAATCGCGAACGGGCGACACGTCACGCTGTTTTCGAACGCTGGTAGGACTCGCTGGTCGCACGATCGCGCGAATTAATGAGATAACAAGGATCGCGCGAATTAATGAGATAACAAACAGATCGTCAGGTGGGAAGAACTGCAGAGAAGAGAAGGGCGAAGAGAAAGAAGAAAATTGACGAGTGAAGAAAGGAAGAAGAAACTCGTGATTGTCTGTCGTTCACGTACAGGGTTATAGTGTTCAAACTTTTACAGTAAGTAAGAATAAAATTGTGTAGTAAATAGTCCGTGGATTTCTTTGGAAAATTACAACGAACATGTGAAGCGTGACAAACGTGATTAATTTCAAGAATTTTAATCTCCAAATGGTCTTTTAAATTGCTAGACCTTACATCTTAAATAATATATAATATATATATTAAATATATATAATTCTAATATATATATTAAATATATAAATAACTCTATAATGTATATATTTAAATAATTTAAAATTAATATAATTAAATAAAGTTTTATGATAAAAATATATTTCAGTAATAATTAAAAATTAATAATATTGTTAACAGTTTAAAGTAATGAAAATGAATTTTTTGAAAAATAAATAAGTAAAATTTACTTTTGTACCTTTTCTATCAGGGTTAATTAATTAATTTTAATAATTCAATTATTTCGAAAATAAATGATCCAAATATATATAAATATATTATTTTTTTTGTAAAATAAAAAAAATAAATATATATTTAGAAATTAAATATTTTTTCAACTAAATTTAATTTATATATTTAAGATATAATTTATATATATATTTAAAATATACAAATTTCTTTGCTCGTGGAGAATGAATTATGAAAAAACCGCGCGTGAATTCGACGAGATTTGATCCGCAATGAATTTAACAGTGCTTCGACATCAAATTTGTATTAATAAAGGAGACTGACACTTTCAGACATAAGTATTCATGGATTTTATTGCACGACACACTGGCAAAGTTTGAACGCTAAACTTTGGAACACTCTGTACATTATCGCATCGAATTTGATGCTTCTGGCAAGAGTGATTCGCAATGGAACTCCACTTGTTGAAAATAAATTCTAATCGGTGTCGAATTGAGTAAAGATTCGTGAGAACTGATTATTGATTGAATCTCTATAGTTGCGATGTCGTGAAAATATTCAAACATATTCCGCAGAAAATTTCATGTATATTGCAAAATGTTTCGTAAGAGGGTGTGTGTTGAAGCAACTAGGGGAAATTGGCAAACTTCCCTTGCAAGGGGCTGTCTGTTCCATGATGAAGTCAGATAGAAGTTTTACTGAAGTTGCGAAGTCGCGGATACAAAGGAATGTCTTCCGAAGGGACGCGGTTCACACTTGAGAGCTTTAATCTGCATAATCGTGTGACATCGTAAGGCCGTGTAAAAGCCTTAAATCTTTCAGCGCAAACAGAGAATGAGACGAAAATGGAAGGAAGGTAGAATGAGTAATAGTATGGAAAAGGGACGAGAGAAGAAAAGAAAAAGAACGATGAACGGAGAAGAGACGAAGGGAACAGGAAGGGGAAATATGAAACGGGAAGAAGAAAAAGATAGAACAATGAAAGAAACTTGAGGAAAAAACGAAAAAGAAAGAAAATCAGTAAAATCTGTATTAATTACATTATAACAAGAACTTCAAAAAAAAAAAAAAGAAGAAACAAAGAGAACAGAAAAGAAACGAACAGAAGTTCACAGCAGTATAAACAGAGGAGAAGATAAGAATAAAAAGAAAAAATAAAACAATCGAAATAAGAAGAAGAAGAAGAAAAAGAAATAAAACAATCGAAATAAGGAGGAGAAGAAATAAAACAATCGAAATAAGGAGAAGAAGAAGAAGGAGAAATAAAATAATCGAAATAAGGAGAAGAAGAAGGAGAAATAAAACAATCGAAATAAGAAGGTGAAGAAAAAATAAAACAATCGAAATAAGAAGAAGAAGAAGAAATAAAACAATCTAAATAAGAAGAAGAAGAAGAAATAAAACAATCTA